GACATATAAAAATTATATAAAAAAATTATTTTTATAACACCAATCTAATTATATCGTGGTTTTCTTACTCATGCAATAATTTCGTGTCACACAATTTGTAACAGTCCGGACTGTTTAACAACTCTAATCGAGTAATCCAAGTCTTGCAAAAGTCTTCTCCTAACGGTAGGGTTCACGGAGAGTCATACATCCGTTGCTAGAAAATTCCCTTTTCCCATCTTCTCCCTTAGTTCATGTTCCCGCAAACCCTCACAGAGCAAAAGAGGATCTTCAAAACCTGAGAGGATATGGACGCGTACCAGCAACAGCCTCACCGGTACATGCGACCTCCACCGCCGCAACCTCCTCAGCCGCCGCCCACGATGGATCCTCACCACCAGTACCACCATCAGTACGCTCAACCACCGCGAGCACCGACTCCTCAACCCTCATATTATCCAAACCAGTTCCAATACCAGCACCACCAATCTCACTCTTCTCCATCGCCGCCTCCTCCTCCTCCTCCTCCTCCTCCTCCCCCAGCACCATCCCAGTGGGGTCCACCACCTCCCACTGTACCTTATCCCGGGCATCCCCATGGAGCTGCCGCAGGCAATCACTTTCCTCCCCATCCTCCTCGTCCTCACTTGCCTCCCCCTCAGATTCCTCATTCTTACCCTCAGGTCAATCAGGTAACTATCTATCAGTTTATAAGTTTCTGAAGAACGCCATTCTATATTTGAGGCTTCATATTTTGATCTATCGAGGTGAATTCTGTTTTACTTTGTTAATGTTTGTAGGAATGGAGCAACCCAAATTGGTCTTATCACCATGGTTGGGATTACTCAGGTTCGTTTTCTCTTTAATTCTCACTTCATAAATGAGCTCTTTCTAGCACTTTATAGTGTTAACTTCATGCTCTTCACGCTATGTTTGGGGTTGTCAGATGCTATTTCTGCTTTACCCCTGATAAAGTGTTTGTCTTATTACATCTTGATTATTATAGATTTGGTTTTCAATAATTTTGCGATTGCAGCACATAACAATGTAGAGGACTGGGGTGCAAAGGCTAGAGAGTGGGCAAATGCTAGGGCTGCAATGCAGGAACAGCAGCAACCACAATCTCAGTTTACATCAGTGGGCAGACCCGAAGACCAAAACCGTTTTCATGATCAATATCAACAGGCTGTTGATACCCATTACCAAGATGGTCAACAACAATCACTTCCAACATTGAATTATCAGCAGTTTCCTGCTCCAGCTGCATCTGCTCATGGGCCACCCATGATGTATCCTCAGGAGAGTTTCTCTGGCAACTTGGCACCATCATATAATATTGCTGACGGACATCAAAATTACCAAGTCAAGGAAGGAGCTTCAGCTGTGGATTCAAATACTGGATTTCTTCATCAAGAAAGTTTACCTACCACTTCATCCATTCATCAGCAGGAGGTACCTTCTAGTTATTCTTCTGTTTCAGGTAATAATTCCACTTAGCAAATTGAACTTGCATACGAAGATTGTGCTAAAAAACTACTTCTAAACGGAATTCTCTTATCCTAATTAGTCATTTTTCTTGGAAAGTTCTGTGCCCTATCTAATGTAGCAGTATAACAGATCTGGCTGACTTGGATATAATGTTTGGAAAGGGTTAATTCTCTAATCCTATCTTCTGGTTTACTTCTTTTTATCATCATCATCATTTTCTGTAATGCTTGACCATTCCACAATATCATTACTTCCTAAAAGTTGGTTTGGTATGTTTTGGTGAAATTTTATATTAGGCCTAGACCTTATATATTGTCCAGATGATAGAGTTTTGTTTGTTTAAATAGAAGCTTGTGTAACTTGAAAGACCAGCTGGTGATGCTTGGTTTTTGAAAATGTTTTACTTGTCTTTTGACTTATTGCTCAAATGGCAGAGAAAGAAGATTCATCAGTTTCATCTGCTCAGCAGTTACAACAATTGCAAATGTCAGTACCTGCTGCTGGTAGATCAGGCACAATTGAACCATCATTCATGTATGGAAGTCAGGCAGTTGATCCTGCAGCTGATCTTAGTGATCGACCTTTAGATTTTGCACCTAGGTTTAATGAACAGGATCCGCACATTCACTCCAGCTTCACTGCTCATCATGAGTCAGTGGGAGTTGGTAGAGGCATCGACCCTGTTACAGCAGTACCTTCTATTAATGCTTGGACCCCTCCTGTTGCACCTCCTGTAGTTTATCCTCCAATTCCTCCAGTCCTCCCATTGGGAGCACAGGTCTTGCTTCTTGGTTTGTTAGTTCTCTGTTAACTTTTTCCTAAGTTTCTGTATGTTTATATTATGTTTGATTTTTCAGCATGATCCTTCTATGGCTTTGCCTTCTCTATCTGGGCATTCTGCTCCGCCATTTGGAAGGTTTCCTGGACCAAATTTCCAGCCAACTATACCAACAGCCAGTGCATCTTTTGATCTGGGCACTGGAGCTCCTCTTCATCCTTCTGCAGCCTTTCCTGGGGATACATATGGAAGTGTTTCTGAACGTCCTAAGAAGGTAGTTTCTCATCCACACTGGTTGAATATAAATACTTTTCTTGTTATATCATTAATGGTATCTTCTAATGGAATTTTGTCCAGGCTCCTGTGCCCAATTGGCTTAAAGAGGAAATCATTAAGAACAAAGCTGCTATAGCTAAGTCTTCTTTAGAGCATCCTAAAGAGGAAACACAATTCATTGAAGATGAAAGTTTTGATAAATCTTTTGGTAAGGGTGATCAAGCAGATAGCAAAAGTGTTGATTCTTCTAGGTCAACTGAAGAAGAGGATGATGATGAGGTTTTATCTCTTTGTAACCCAATGGGATTTTAGTTTGCCTTCAATGAGGTTCTCTTTTATGAAAATTCAATGTTCTTAAATTGATTTTCATATATTACTGTCATTTTCTTTTGTTGTAGGATTATGTGGAAGCAGCTAGAACTGCAGCAGTAAACCAGGAAATAAAACGAGTTCTAACTGAAGTCCTTTTAAAGGTATAATTGCTTAACCATCTGGCAGTAGTAATTCATTTAATTTCTTTCTGTATTAACTATGCTTTTCATGCTTTTTAACAGGTTACAGATGAGTTATTTGATGAAATTGCAACAAAAGTTCTAAGTGAAGATGACCTTACAGTCGAAGGTAAGTTAATCCACCAAGTTTACTTTCTTCTTCTTTGTGAAAGACTTACTACTTAAATACAATCATCTTCTTGCCTCATATACCCCACCTCCCCCCCCCCCCCCCAAAAAAAAAAAAAAAAACACTTTTTTATGTCATTTTTTCCCCTGCTCCCAATGACTGCAGTCAACCACAATAATTTGAATTCAAGACCATCTCCCTTAGCCGTGCCAGCTGCCAAGGCTTCTGCAAGGGTTGTGGTTCCAGGTAAAGGCAAGGAATCTGATGGTGTTGGTCTCAGTGAAAAATCTAATTCAAGCTCCCCTGGCGATGTTCTGGGTCTTGCAAACTATGCTTCTGATGACGACAACGACGATGACGATGCTGAAGAAACTCAAAGTTCCATACCAGAGTCTAGGAATAATTCTATTCTTCAGCCATCCAGCATTAAAAGGCTTTCAGAAAACATGCTTGATGCAGCTGAAAATGGCAATTCACATGTAGAACCCAATGAACATTTTAGATCTGAAAAGAATTTGGGAAGTGATCTGATCCAGCCAAAAGAGAACAAGAATACTGCTGTTGCTGGATTGGGTGAAAATGGGGCAGGTAGGGTGCATGAACATCCATATTCTTCCAGGATGGTTTCCAGGAATGAAATTAATGCTAACAGTGAAAAACCATGGGATGGAAGTAATGGTTCTCAAGTGAATGATACTTTAGGAGAAAAGGCTATGGCCACATCTGAGCCGCCTGAAAAGGATATGGGTAAAAAATCTAGAAAAGATGATTCTCAAGGTAGGGAATCTGGACTAAAATCAGAGAAGGATGATCGTCATGAAAATAGTAAGAGTTCTGGAAAGGACCCTGGTAGGGAAGTAGAGATCGGCAGGGTTAGGGAAGATGAGAAGGGAGATGAGAATCGTCGGAGACAGGATGAAAGGCATCTAAGGAAGGAAAAGGCAGATGACCGCAATGGCTTGAAAGAGCATGGTGTGAAGACTGGGAATAAAGCCAAGGAATCTGAATCACAAAGGCGATCCAACCATCTTGATACCAAGGATGAAAAGAAACATGCAGAGAGATCCCATAGAGGCACGAAAGAAGAGGTTGACAGAAAAAGAGAACAAACAAAAGAGGATGATAGGGCAAGACATAAACTTGGAAGTGACTCAAGCAGGCACAAAAGAAGAAGATCTTCATCCCCAAGCAGTAGAGGCAGAAGCAGCAAGGACAACTCTGGTAGTCATGCCAATGACTCAAGTGATGAAGTATCAGATGATTCAAAGAGGTTTATGATAGTGATCTTCTGGCTTCTGCCTATTCCTTATTCTCTCAAGCTTCCTTTGCTGCTTATAACATTTTTTCCTGTATGTGCTGCAGGAAGTTGCATACAAGAAAGCGTAACTCATCACCGTCACCTGTCAGGTCCAGGAGAAGGTACTTGTATCAGTTCATCACTTTTCCTCCTGTCCTCTACTCTCTTTTTTCATTTTTCTTTTTTTTTTTTCCTTCTTCTT